TCCATCCATCCATCCATTCATCCATCCATCCATCCATACTGTATTCCTCCATCCATCCATCTATCCATCTATCTACTGTATGTATCCAACCATCCATCCATCCATCCACCCATCCATCCATCTATCCATCCATCCATTCATCCATCTATCCATCCACTGCATCCATCCATCCATCCATATATCATCCATCCATCTATATATTGTATCCACCCATCTACTGTATTTATCCATCTGTCTATCCATCCATCCATCTATTGTCCATCCATCTATCTATTGCATCCATTCATCAATCCGTCCATACATCCATCTACTGTATCCATCCAACCATCCATCCAACCATCCATCCATCCATCCATCCATCCATCCATCCATCCATCCATCCATCCATCTTCTGTCTCCATCCATCCATCCATCCATCCATCCAATGAACCATCCATCCATCTTCTGTCTCCATCCATCCATCCATCCATCCATCCATCTATTCATCTACTGTATCCATCCATCCGTCCGTCCGTCCGTCCGTCCGTCCGTCCGTCCGTCCGTCCATCCATCCATCCATCCATCCATCCATCCATCCATCCATCCATCCATCCATCCATCCATCCATCCATCCATCCATCCATCCATCTATCTATCTATCTATCTATCTATCTATCTATCTATCTATCTATCTATCTATCTATCTATCTATCTACTGTATCCATCCATCTATCCATCTGCTTGTCAGTGTTTGTCAGACTGCATGGCCTTCAACTTCTTATCCTACTTTTATTAAATGCTTTTAAGGTTAAGCTTATAAGCCTTTCAGGCATTCTCAGACCAGCATCAAAGTTTGTCTTGCCAAACGTGTCTTAATCTAATCATTTTGAAAAGGACTAAACTTTCTTTTCAATATCTTTTCAATATTTCGTGTACAACAGCTCTGTTGATAATACAGAACTGTGCAAGCCAATACTTCAGAGCATGAGTTTTAATATGACTGGACAGCTTGATTATATTGTTTCTGACCAGCAGAACTGGCTTCATCTTGCCGCTACTTTGATGTGACAAATTGTAACAGGCTGAGGCTTGTAGCATGGAGGAATCGTGGATAATAGATTTGAACCTGCTCCAACAGCTGATGAACCTGTTCTGACATGCTCAGACAGGTCCGTAACGCTCACCTCATCGTCATCCGCGTCATATTGTGCGTATTGCTGCTCCATCATCTCTCTCTGACGTTTCTCCTGCTCCAAAGTCTGACTGATGAGCTGCGCCACTTCACTCTGCTGTCCCGGACGCTCTCGGCCAATCACAAATCTGCAAACACACCAACAGCCAATGAGAATGAGAGCAGCTATGATATCAGATGCAGAGTGGTAAAACGTGATGATGGGGTCACACTGTTCAATAAGGTTTAATTAACTGTGTTTACTAACATTAACTAATTATGAATAATAAGCATTTATTAATCATAGTGCCCTAATAAAGTTCAAATTCATGCTTGTTAACATTTGTTAAGGCACAGAATTAGCATGAACAAACAATGAACAACTGTACTCTCCTTAACTAACAATAACTAACATAAGTAATGTAATAAATGTATTGTTTATTGTTTGCTTGTGTTAGTAAATGGATTAACTAACACAACCTTATTGCAAAGTGTTACCAATTATGAGTTGCACTTCCTGTTTGGGGAATTTACATTAAAAAAGAAGTGAAACTAATCACTTCCAAACAAATCACAATCAAACTCCCACATAAGGTGTAAGGTACAATTTACAACATTCATTCATTCATTTTCTTTTCGGCTTAGTCCCTTTATTAATCCGGGGTCGCCACAGCGGTATGAACCGCCAACTTATCCAGCACGTTTTTACGTAGCGGATGCCCTTCCAACCGCAACCCATCCCTAGGAAACATCCACACACACACTCATTCACACTCATACACTACGAACAATTTAGCCTACCCAATTCACCTGTACCAAATGTCTTTGTATTGTGGCGGAAACCAGAGCACCCGGAGGAAACCCATGCGAACCCAGGGAGAACATGCAAACTCCACACAGAAATGGTAACTGATCCAGCCGATGTTCGAGCCAGCGACCTTCTTGCTGAGAGGCGACAGCACTACATACTGCGCCACTGCGTCACCCCAATTTACAACAACTGAAATCAAAACTGTAGCCATAGTTTACACCAGAATATCCCTTCAGAGCACACTGTTATATTGACAATGACTAAGCAGTTTGGCTCTCTTATCCATTCACAATAGACAGATTTCACACGGCCACCCTTTTAAAAGCGAAATCGAGGCTGCGGTGGGAAGAAACCTGGAAGTATCGCCTGGAGTCACACAGGAATGTTGTGTACCTGGCTATATCTTATCAGCGGAGTGAAAGTGACTCAGATTTACTGCTTTACAAGTGACCTGAAGGTCTGTTCTGAATGGATAGTGAAAATAAAAAAAAATGAACTGATTCTTTCACTATATCAAACCTGTCAGGATACTGAATTTTAGTAATAAATAAAAAAAGTAAATTTACTGCTATTATTTAAGCATTGTTGAGCAGGTTCTTAAACACCGCTGATTTATTATTGTATTCACCAGTGCTCAACAGAAATGACTGTGATTGGTCGCGAAGGTTATCAGTTCACTGCACTTTCCCGATGGTTATCGAGTGCAAACACAGACGAGCAAACGACTGATCTTCGCAGCTTTAAAATCCTCCAGTGTATCTGTGTTTGCAATCAGTGAAAAGCGGTGAGCTTGATGACCTTCACCAGGTTTTTTAACCCTATAGAGCTGCACGTATATTTTATACATGAGTTTCTAAGACCTATATAATATCAACCTGGTCAATACTTTGTTTAAAAACCTGTTGTATATGATATTATATAATTTGATATAAAACAGGCATATCAAGTAACAGCTAAAAACAGCCTGAGAAAAACTGCCTGACGTGTTCTCTGTTGTCAAAATGTTAAGGGTAATATGATTTTCTATCATCAAAATTCACTTGCTGTGAGCAAAATATTGCACGTACGCCTAATGTCTCAAATGTGATGCAAATTAATATAATGAAAAAAGTATATGGCAAACATTTTGTTTTTGATTTTGCTAGATGGTTTAATAAACATCTCAGATGCAGAAAATTAGAACTTTCTGTCTACTTTTTGATATCTCAGGTCTTACAGACAAAAACAATTTACTTTTTTCCACATTCACCACACTTTTTTTCAATGTAATGGATGTTTCTACCATAATTCCCACAAAGCATCATGAGGCGTAGGGAAATGTGGATTAAAGATCATGGCTATCGATTTTCAAATGGAGACAAAGAAGGGAATGGATTTCACATAAAGGAGACGGCTATAAAAAGGTGGAAGGCGAAAAAAGAAAGAGAGATAAAATCCTTTCTTTTCAGTTATAATGAAGTGAAAAATGTCAAACGCTTTTCAAACATTGTCTGGCTTTAAGCAGGCTTTTTTGTTCCCTCTTCATTGACGGATTGTATTTCTTTATTATATACCCCATGAATCGACTTCTTCTGAGGTCAGTGTGATAAATGACAACAGGTGAGTGTGTTAACTGTACAAAACGATAACAATGCTATTTGGCAAAGTCAGGTGAAAAATACTGCTGCCTAAAACCTGGAAATACACAAGCAGAACTGCAATCAGATAATTAGTTATTAATCTCCGAAGATCAACGACCTCCTTTATAAGTCTAAAGCCGCTTTGCCATTGCGTCTGACAAATGACATTGAAAGAGCTGAAGTCATTCAATTCTAATGGATTTTATTATGGCATCATATGGATGTGCAGAAATAGTTTGCAGCTATCCCATATGCGAATAAGTGACTGTCCAGAAAGAAATAATTACAATAGTGAATAAGCCAAGGTCAGTGGTATAATTTATATAATTTATATTATTTATATACAGTATATATAGTATTATATATAGTATATTCAATTATTTCAATGCATTTTTAAACAATCAATTTAATAACTAATTTTTTTTGTCTTTGCCAAGATGAAAGTGCAGTTCAGTTATTTTGCAAGACAATAGTATTCAGCCCAAAGTGCAATTTAAAGGCTTAACTAGGTCGATTAAGGTAATTAGGCAAGTCATTGGTTAACATTGGTTTGATTTGTGACCAATCAAGAAAAAAAAAATCTAAGAGGGCCAATAATTAATTTTCTTTAAAAAATTGTTTATCTAAAACTGCTGCTTTTTATACAAATTAAAACAAAAAAGACTTTCTTCAGAAGAAAAATAAATATTATAAAAAATACTGTGAAAGTTTTCTTGCTTTATTAAAAATCACATGGAAAATATTTTTTTTAAATAATAAACATTTCACAGGAGGTTTTCAATAAACTATAATTTTGTCAATATCACACACCCCTACATGTCTTTGAGATAAAATACATTTTTACCATAATGAATATGCCAGGGGTTGTGGTATATTTTATATAAACGACTGTATAAGACACAGTACAGTCTAAGTAATATCACACTTAAGTGTGCTGAAAATCTATATATTAAGTTACATTTTAGACACTAAATTGTCTGTTTTTGATGTTTAACAAATGATAATGTTTGAAAACAAATGCAGAGCAGAACATTAGAGTCTTAAAGCAGCATTGTGGTGTTTTATCTATGAATAATTCAGTGTATCACTCATTAAGACAAGGATTTGTTGCCACCTACTGATCTCATACTTATTTACTCTTGAGATTGTTTTAACACATTTTTCTAATATTAATTTTAATAAATAATTTCTTTTGTCTTTGCCATGATAACAGTACATAACATTTTTCTACTTATTTTGCAATACATTAGTATTCAGCTGCGGTCACACTGCACTTTTCTCCTCATAGACTTCCCTTTATACGCATCCTATCAAATAACAGATAGAAAAAAATAAGAATAAATGTAGAGTACACACGAAAAAGGAAATAAGGATTATGTTTTTTTTTCCACTCAACTTCAGGCATTCCAGTTCTTCAGACAAAAAAAATGTACAGTTTGCACAACTTAAACGTTTTGTTACAAATAGTTCACCTCTCCAGAAAACTAATAATCTTATGATAACCCAACTAAATGTTTTTGTATTACTGACAAATAATTTTAGGTCAGTGCAGCTGATGTTTTTACCTTGAGTGAACAAGAAAAAGAGAAAGGAAATAAGGATGTTGTTTTTTTTTTGTTTTTTTTTTACAGTGCACTTCAAAAGGATAGTTTACTCAAAACCGGTAATTCTGTCCCCATTTACAAACCTGCTCGAGTTTCTGTCTTCTGTTGATCACAAAATAATATTTAAAAAAATATTAGAATCCAATAACTATTGGATTTCATAGTATTTGTAAGGAAGTCCATGGTTACTAACATTATCCAACCTCAAAATATCTTATTTTGTGTTCAACAGAAAAAAAGAAACTCAAAGTTTTGAAACCATTTTAAAAGTGAGTTAGAAGCATTTTTTTTATTTGTTGGTGCCATACGGACTGGTTTTAGTATTTCAGAAAGGTTTCTATGCGCAACCATCTCAAAGCAGTGATTTTCAACATGTGGGTGCCAAACATTATCTGCGGTACTCCTTTTTTGTTGTTGTACTGACTTAAAGATTTTTACAGGGCATGATTTATTGTATCAAATGCCTTCTTTCAATCTATATAAACTCCAACTTCCTTTTTTTAATCCATCTCATTAGTAATTTCCTCAATAACTTCTGTTAATGCCAGAGATGTTGATCTATTTTTCCTGAAACCGTATTGCTCATCAGCTAAAAGGTTGTGGGTGAATTTCTCAAGCCTTTCAACAAAGAGTTTTTCCAAAATTTTAGAAAACCGAGTAATAATTTGAGATAAAAATAAATTTTCTCCAATAATATTCCACCCATCCTCTGCATGTTGTTGAGAAGCAGAATGGAGCTCAGCATGGACTCTTAATCACCTGCGTTCCACACAGATAAAGGGCCAGATCTGATCTACATCTGAAGCAACAACTGGGCCAATAATACCCTGCCATGCCAAGCCTCTCTTCGCAGCGTTTGCATTGCAGCTGACCTGGAAACAGCCTCCGTACCACACACTGAGAGACCAAACTGCTCTGGTACAGCGCTTGCTTATTAATAAAGCCATGTCATAATTATTCATATACATCTGGAGTGACAGGATTGCATTTCAGGATGTGAGCATCACCTCCAACATGCTAAAACATCCCCCATTCTGACACTGAATCATCACAGCAATGATCGGCTCCTAATAGACTGACAGTCTTCATGCATTTATTGGTGCAGATCGAGTTTAAGACCTGCCATAATTTCTACAGTAGGTTAAATATAGCACAAATTGAGAATCTGGGCCACCGTGCCTCATCGGTGAGAACAGAGAGGAATATAGACAGCTGAAAAATACAGCTATGGTCAAATGAAGGATTTCCTGACACCTTCATAGTGCAGGCATATGACATGTCCTGGTAAAAATGTGACTTAACTGAGAAAAATATAATATAATATAATATAATATAATATAATATAATATAATATAATATAATATAATATAATATAATATAATATAATATAATATAATATAATATAATATAATTTAATAATATAATTTAATAATATAATTTTATTTAATATAATAATATAATATAATATAATATAATATAATATAATATAACATAATATAATAATATAATATAATTTAATATAATATAATAATATAATATAATAATATAATATAAAATAATAATATAATATAATATAATATAATTTAATATAATATAATAATATAATATAATATAATATAATATAATATAATTTAATAATATAATATAATTTAATAATATAATATAATATAATAATATAATATAATATAATATAATATAATATAATATAATATAATATAATATAATATAATATAATATAATATAATATAATATAATAATATAATATAATATAATAATATAATATAATAATATATAATATAATAATATAGTATAATATAATATAATTTAATAATATAATATAATATAATATAATATAATATAATATAATATAATATAATATAATATAATATAATATAATTTAATAATATAATATAATATAATATAATATAATATAATATAATATAATATAATATAATATAATATAATATAATATAATATAATATAAAATTTTAGAATTTTTTGTAGTTGTTTAGATTGCAACTAGGCAGTTTATTTGTAAGGATAGTGCCTACTTTAAATATTAATAATTTTGGAGATCATTCGAGTAGCAGTGCAATATGGCTGTATATCGTCACTGGTGGGACACTATGCACTCGTGCCAACGCACACCTCCCACCAGTGCTGATATACAGCCATAGTGCACTGCTATATTATATTATATTATATTATATTATATTATATTATATTATATTATATTTTATTATATTATATTATATTATAATATATTATATTATATTATATTATATTATATATTATATTATATTATATTAAATTAAATTAAATTAAATTAAATTAAATTAAATTAAATTAAATTAAATTAAATTAAATTATATTATATTATATTATATATTATTAAATTATAATATATTATATTATATATTATTATATATTATTATATATTATTATGTATTATTATATATTATTATATTATATTATATTATATTATATATTATTATATATTATTATTATTTATTATATTATATTATATTATATTATATTATATTATATTATATTATATTATGTTATATTAAATTTTATTATATTATATTATATTATAATATATTATATTATATTATATTATATTATATTATATTATATTATATTATATTATATTATATTATATATTATTAAATTATATTATAATATATTATATTATATTATATTATATTATATTATATATTATTAAATTATATTACAATATATTATATTATATTATATTATATTATATTATATTATATTATATTATATTATATTATATTATATATTATTATTATTTATTATTATTATTATTATTATTATTATATTATATTATATTATATTATATTATATTATATTATATTATATTATAACAAAGAAAGTACTGATACATAAAATTTAATTTAATTAAATAAAATCCATTTTTCCAGTGCAGACTATCAGCATCAGCATCTGACCATATGAAATCATGCGAATCAGTCTCTCGATCCATCTAAACAATTAAATCACATATACAAAACTTATGTTTACATTTACCACTTTTAAAACAACACACAGCTGAAGAAGCTGAAAAGTAAACACACAGTTCTGAAGAACTAGCTTTTCAGTGTGTTTATATTTATTGAGGAAGCAGAAAACCCTGCTGACAGCATCAGCTTGAAAACAATCTGCCGGATCCCACTGTGCGAAAGCCATTGTTAATGAAGAGCTGTGTTTCCTGACAGTGTGAAGAGACACGCTTTTCAACGATCTGTGGAGTCTGAGGGGACGTTAGATACACTAATAACAACTCTGTGTTTTTCTCCAGAGTGTTGAGTGGGAGGGAGAGACGATGATGGCGTGTCATGCTTTTTCATACGCTACTAATCACATCTCTCGCTCTAGCAGATGTGTGTGAGCTATGGAAAGGATTCGAAGGTGGATTTTTGATGGACAATATTACAGGGCGAGTTAAAGTTTACTCAAAAATGAACGTTTGCTATTAATTTGATCATCCTCAGGTTATCCAAATTGTGTAAAGCGCTTCGAGTACCCAAAAAAGAGCTATATAAATGTAAGGAATTATTTATTATTGTTATTTAAGATGTATGTGACTTTCTGGTGATTTTTAGCTGAACTGTGGTCCTCATACAGGGTTTCTACGGGTTTCACCAAGTCAAATCTAAGACATTTAATACCTTTTCAAGACCATTATGGATGAACTACGATTTTTTTTCGAATGGCCAGTGGCAAAGATTTTTAATTAAATATTAAATATCCCTTTAAGGTCAAACATGTGATTAATGAAACGTAATAAAGCAGTGTAATGACAGTAGGACATCCAGCATCTTACCTGACGACTCCCTGTGTATTTCTCAGGACAGAAGCAGCGAAACTCTGAGTTACTCCAACCAGACTGGTGCCGTCCACCTCCACGATCTGATCGTTCACCTTAATTCTGTGGAAAATGCAAGACCCTATTAGCACACTGTGTAATCTCTAAAACAGGTTTATGTAACACTGTGAATGCTAAACAGTGATTTCTTAGTCATTCTGGGATAACTTTTTGCATAATTATGTTCTGCCTGAGGCCTTCTCATCACTCTGCTATTATTACTCCATTTTTTCCGTGGATCAAAGATGCTGATGTATGAAGGACCTGGCACATCCCAGCACAGGTTTTACAAAGCCCTTAAGTGAGACTGAGCTTGAGAATTCTTTGAAAAAGATATAAAGATAAAAACTAAGAATAAAGACTGAAAAGATGTGGGAAAGATTTATGGCTTCCTAAATATGGCAGGTATGATTCCTGTCCTGTCAACAGTGCATTCAATAAATTGATAATATGTTTAACAATATTTTTTATAATTATAAAAATAAGGTTAATAATGATAATGATGGTAAAAAAATTAAGTATTATTATTTTAAATGTTCTTGATTTTATGTGAATTAACTTAAATATAATTTTATTAATAGGCAATAATTAAGTCAAATGTTAGATGACCTCAGGATTAACATTATTATTATTATTATTATTATTATTATTATTATTATTATTATTAATGATTAATTATTTAAACCAAGGGTGCCAAAACTCGTGTCTTGCATATTTTAGTTGGAACCCCAATATAACACAACTGAACCAGCTAATCAAGCTCTTTCTGGGTATACTAAAACTTCCAGTCAAATGTTTTAAAGAAAGTGAGAGCTAAACTATGCAGGACACTGGCCCTCCAGGACCGAGTTTGGACACCCCTGATTTAAACAAATTAATGAATTTTCTAAAAATGTAATCAGAAATAAAAATTCTAATAATATATTATTATACATTTTAATAATTTATTTAATATTTTTTATTTAATATTTAAATGAATGTATTTTTCTTCTTTGTATAATCTGAAAATACATAAACTAAATTTGTTATTATAAATAAATTATTTTAATTGTATTTTGTTATAAATAATTATTTTCTGAAAGTATTCTCTAAAAAATAGCAGCATGTACTGCAAACATATGAAAATGTATGTGAACAAACAAATTTTAATAATTAATGCTTAAAACACTTTATCCTTAAAATGACAAAGTACTTAAAAATAATAATAATTACAAGAATACATTTTAGAATATATTTCATACTTATATTTATTTTTTTATTGAATATTTTTTTCTAAATGTAAATTATTTGCATAATCTGAAAGTACATAAATATATTTTTATTATCAATTAAATATTTTTGTATTTTTATTATAAATAATATTTATTTTATTATTTGAATTATTTCAATATTATTAAAAAAAATAACATGTACTGCAAACATCAAAATATATACTCTATATGAACAAACAATTTTTAACATTTAATGCATAAAATACTTTATCCTTAAAATTACAAACATCTTAATTATTAATAATAATAATAGTACTACTACTACTAATAATAATAATATAAAGAAAAGAATAACAATAATAATAGTTTTAAAAAGAGTTTATATTTTTAATTAATATTTAAATTAATGTATTTTCTACAGGTATATTCTTTGCATAATCTGAAAATACATAATCATATTTATTATAAATGAATTATTTTATTTGTATTTTATTATAAATAATGATTTTTTTAAATATATTTTATTGTTTTAAAAATCATTTGTTTTTAATAGCAGCAGGCACTACAAACATCAAAGTATATACTGTATGTGAACAAGCACATTTCAATATTTAATGCTTAAAATACTTTATCCTTAAAATTACAAAGCACTTAAACAATAATAATAATAATAATAATATATTTTTTAATATATTTCATTTTTTCATTAATTATTTAAATGAATGTATTTTCTAAAGGTATATAAATGTATATTCTTTGCATAATCTGAAAATACATAATCATAATTTTATTAGAAATAAATTATTTTATTTATATTTTATTATAAATAATTATTATTTTATATTTGTAATTAATTTTAAAAGTATTTTCTAAAAACTAGCAGCATGCACTGCAAATATACAAATATTTATATATACATATAAGGTATATTCTTTGCATAATCTGATTTATTGCATTATTTTTATTATAAATAATTGTTTTCAATATTTTTAAAATAGGAACATGTACTGCAAACATATAAAATATATACTGTATATTAACAAATATTATTCAATAAGTAATGCTAAAATGGTTAATCCTTAAAATGACAAAGTACTTAGATTACTACTACTACTAAAATTAATAATATCTAAAGATATGTTTTACTGTATACTCATACAGTATACTAATATAATAAACTAATATACTAATAAGATTAATCAATGAATAATTAACTTTATGATTAATAAAAAGTCATAATTACTTAAAATCACAGAGTACTTCAGACTGCTAATGATTTAGGTCACAGGTCAGAAGCCCCTGTCTCAGCAGTAATAATGATATTATTAACAAGTTCTCAGTTGAACTTAGTGGTCACATTCTTTCAGCAGCTGAAGAGTAAATGCTCACAAGACAGAAGGAATTACAATCACTGCTTGAGGATTACAAAGAGACGAGTAAGCTCCTTAACAACATGTGATAATACAATTTTCAATATGCCTCAGTGTTTGCATGAAGGGCCCCAACTGCGTGATATATGTAATGAGATTTGCGAGTTTGACCACATTGCTTTGACCCTTGATTCCTGTCTGGATATTGAGCTCCTGGCAAAATCTCATCTGTTATGCAGAGCAAAGCAGACGGAGAGATGCTTGCAAGATTGAATCCTAATGTGCTGCTAAAGAGTGTGGTGTAAGCACGGTCTGACCTTCACATGCGTTTCTCAATGTCGTCAATAAAGTGAAACTGACAGCAGGAAATAAGTATTCCTCTATGCAACAAAAAAAATAAGCTTCCAAGGTCCTACATTGTTACACTGAGCTCAGAAGCAGAGTTAATGGTGGAGGAAATTACATTTTGACTGCTGAAAGGTCTTTTTGATACCTGATTTGCAAAGCCCACGGTTTCTTACTAATCTTGAAACAAGCAAAGATGTCTCAGGATTTCACTCAGAAAAAACGAGCAGTGCTTTCTAGCAGTCTGAGAATAATTTTGGAAGCAAAGCTGCAAGAGATACACTCAAAAAAAAAAAAAGATTTTTGCTGCTTGTTTAAATGACTTATTTAAAATGAGCTGAAACAACACAATTCTTAAGATTTGGTTTGGGACAAGTAAAATATATATATATTATAATTTTTTTATTTTATTTTTTTCAGTTTTTGTTTGTGTACGTGATGTTAAGTTTTGGTGTTTATTGTGTTAAGTGTGTCATTCTTGTTATGTGAAGCACCACCATATCCGAATAAATTGCCCCATGGAATTAATAAAGCTTTAAAGTAAAACTTAAAATCTAACACGATATACTGATTTACTGAATACTGACGACAAACTTAAACAAACTAAATCTTTCACTTTTTTAATCCTAAATGTTTTCTTGCAATTGCAGAACATACATTTTATTCATTAGACCTCCCTAACACACATGGGTTGATTTCACTCCTATTCCTACCCTCCCTTTAGGATTGTCAAGCCCCTGAACTGCAGGCATTCATAAAGCCCCAAAGATTTGCTTTCATTTTTGGCAATGTGCAAATCACATGAGAGACTTTCTAGGATTCACTAAATCTGGCAGCAGCTGAAAAAGCACGGTTTAGAAATCCTTTACCTTCTATTAGTTTTGAATATTTTTCTCTCTTTTTATACCTTCCATCTCTTTCTGCAGCTCCTCCCTCTATGACAGTCTTGACAAAGATGCCCAGCTTCTCCAGGCCTGCGTCAGCACCAACACCCATTCCTATAATACTGATGCCCAGGCCATCATCATCTGACACGCACACAGATAAACATACACAGATCAGTTCAGGGAACAAACGTAAAAAATGACACTTTAATAAATGGATGGAAGGATGGATGGATGGATGGATGGATGGATGGATGCATGAATGGATGGATGGATGGATGGATGGATGGATGGATGGATGGAAGATGCATAAATGGATATATTAATAGATGATTCATGGATGTTGGATGGTTTGATGGATGGATGGATGGATGGATGGATGGATGGATGGATTGATGGATGGATAGATGGATGGATACAATGATGAATGGATGGATGGATGCAATATATGCAAGATACATATATGGATAATATGATGGACGGATAGATTGTGCAAAAATTAATGAAATGAAGGATAGAAGAATGTTTGATGGACGGATGGATGGATAAATGGGTGGATAGATGGATGGAGACAATGATGAATGGATGAATGGATGCAAGATACATAGATGTTTGGTGAATGGATGGTGCATGTTGGTGGATTGATGAATGGATAGATTAATAAATGGTGCATTAATGGGTGAAATGATAGATGTATAGGTTGTGTATAAATGGATGAATTGATGAATGGATGGATGTTTGATGCATGAATTGATGAAAAGAAGGATAGATAGACGATATATGATAATAGATTAATAAAATAATACATGAGGCATGGATGTTGGATGGATTTATGAAGTGATTGATAGATAGATGGATGGTTGGATGGATGGTGCAAAAATGGATGATATAATGGATGGATGTTTGATGCAATAATGGATGAAAATAAGGATGGATGGATAGACAGACAGACAGACAGACAGACAGATAGATAGATGGATGGTGCATAAATGGAGGAAATGATGGATGGATGGATGGATTGTGCACGAATGAAATGAAGAAAGGATGGATATTTGATAGATGGGTGGGCAGAATGATAAATGGGTGGATGGATGCAAAATACGTATATGTTTGTTGAATGAATGATGCATATATGTTGGTGGATTGACAAACAGATAGATGAATAGATGGTGCACAAATGGATGAATTGATATATGGATTGTGTAAAAATAGATGAAATGATGGATAGATGAATGCTTGATGGATGAATGAATGACATTATGGATAGATGGATGGACATTTGATTTATAAATTGATGAAATGATGGTTGGATGAATGGATGGTGCATAAATTCATAAAATAATAGATGGATGGATTGTGTAAAAATGGATGAAATGATGAATGGATGAATGTTTGGTGCATGAATGGATGAAAAGAAGGATTGATAAATAATTGGATGGATGGATGGATGGATGGACAAATAGATGGATTGTACATAAATGAATGAAATGATGGATGGATTAATAGATGGATGGATGGATGGATAGATGTTACTTAAATGGATGAAATGATGGATGTATGTATGGATGGATGTATGGCTGGACATAAATGGCTGAAATGATGATAGATGGATGAATTGATGGATGGATGGATGGATGGATGAATGTTTGATGTACGAATGAATAAAAGTATGGATGAATAGAAATTTGATGCATAGATGGATGAAATGATAGATTAATAGATGATGCTTGGATGCTAGATGTATTAATAACGGGTGGATCTTTCTATTTATTAACAAACACTGATATGCAGAAGCATGGAGAACATTCCCCTCAAAAGTTTTCAGATCTAAATATTGTATAAGAATATTTACAAGGAAATCAAGGCTAGTTGACACAATTGGTGGTTTTTATAAGTAACTACAAGGTTTTATAAAAAAAAAGAGCTCGTAAAGTCAAAAGTGTAATTTCCCAGTCTCACTTATCCCAAAAAGCCATCTATTCACCTTTTTCCAGTTCCACAGGGAGAAGTTCCAGCTTCTCCACCCGTTTCTCCAGCTCATACTCAGCTGAGGACGCCACTGGGTCCACCTCTTCATTCCTGCGGTCGTAATCTTCATTGCAGTAGGTTTTAAACACCTGGAAGCCAAAAAAAATCCAAGCCAATGTCACATTACTGTATAAGCAAAACAGCTGTGAGAAGCACATTTTCGTAAACGGTGGAGCATGTGAAGCATACAGGAGTGGCCAGTATGTGTGTATATATATCTCTGCTTGCATCAGAGTGTCTTCATAACAGTGCTTATCGCCTGAAACATAAACTGCCGTCTCCTCAGTGTAAGTGATGGTCTTGTGCATCGTGGTGTGAAAGGACAGTCACGCACAACTGCGTCCCCTAAGCAGATTATCAGACAAACATCGGCCTCATGCCAGTGCCTCACATTTCTGCCTCTCCTTACCGGCGTCCTTAATACTAGAGTTCAGTGGCGAGATTGTGCCTTCATGGTGACACTGAATCAGTTTCTCTGACCCAGATTCAACAGAGTTTCATTTGAAAAAGAACAATGTTCCAGGGGAAATCAACAAGGTTAAAGTCGCCCTTAAATCAAAAAATCACTTTTAACCTGAATGTGTTAGCCTATCAGTGGTTAGCACCGTCGCCTCACAGCAAGGCAGTCACTGGTTCGAGTCCTGGCTGGGGTGGTTGGCATTTCTTTGTGGAGTTTGCATGTTCTCCCTGTGTTAGTGTGGGTTTCCTCCGGTATTGCTCCGTCTTCCCCCACAGTTCAAAGATATGTGCTATAGGTGAATTGAATAAACTAAACTGGCCATAGTGTATGAGTGTGTGTGTGTGTGTGTGTGTGTGTGTGTGTGTGTGTGTGTGTGTGTGTGTGTGAGTGAATGAGTGTGTGGGTGTTTCCCAGTACTGGGTTGCAGTTGGAAGGGCATCCGCTGCCTAAAACATATGCTGGAATAGTCAGAGGCGACCCCTTATAAATAAAAAACTAAGCCGAAGGAAAATGAATGAATGAATGTAAGCCTATAGTGGTTCATTCCACTGTGGCGACCCCTGATAAAAAAGGGACTAAGCTAAAGGAAAATGAATGAATGTGAGCCTATAAGATAATATGCTCCAAAACAATGACAAAATAGCCAAATTTTAAGGTACATGCATTCAAGTCTGCAACTTCCATCAATATTGTTCATTGATCAGCCTCTCAGATTTTCTGTGCAATCAAGGATCTGAAGTGTTCGCCTAAAATTGTCACTTGCTCACACAGTTATGATTTTCTGTATGGTTAATGGCACTATATCCGTTTGTTAAGTGTGACAGCACGCAAAGCGGCTTCCGGGTCTCAGTGCTCTATCAAATTGTATGGGGAGACCCATCAAATGCTAATAATAAACATTTACAAAGAAATGTAAAACTTTTGAAAATCCCGATCGCAATATTCAATGGCCAGAAAGCAATTAATTTTTTTATAAATTGTACAAATTTTGGTCTTTGAGATGCAGTCCAAAGACTGATGTGTATACTATGAGTTTATTTCAAATTCACTTCAATGTGTGATATGACTAAGAAGAATTGGCCATAAACTAATATTTTCTCAATTTAAATGAGTAGTGGCTTTTTGGGGAACAGTATTCCATACGTCACCAATAATTCACAACTTAACTAGCAGACAGATATGTGTAAATATGCCTTCAACTGGGGTGAATGAAATGAATGAAGGAAAACGCTTGTTTCCACACAATCAGTTTTTGTTGGTGCAACATGAATGAATTAAATTAACTTATTAGTTTTTGCAAATTAAAGTGGATTGAATATAAAATAATTAAGTTGTGCCCAACTTTAGTTGCGCTTATTTTAAATAAGTAGTTTGAACAAACAGCAAACATAATTTGACTTTCACACAAACAGCCACAGCAAACAGTCTTGTTTAAGGTTTGTTTTAATCTGTAAATTACTGCTGATCTTTCTTTAAAATTTTAAATAAAAAAGCAATTAAGAGCCAAATATTTTGCCTAAAATTATAAAAAAATGTGTTTCTAATCATTTTTAGACAACACAATAACTGTACGTTCACACCGAAAACGGCAAGAGCGTCAAAGTAGCCGGAAGTCATTCATTTTCAATGAGAGAGCCAGTGGCAATAAGCAGCGAGGAGCAGCATGGCGTGGTGTGGGTGGCGAGGAGAGTTAAAATCAAGTCAACTTTAAGGTAATGAGCTATGACGCAGTTCGGCAGCAAGCTATTAGAATGAAGAAGTCCACCACTTGAGAGGAGTTCAGAGAACACAGACCTGTGAACTTTGGTTCCGACCACAGTTGTTCCCAAGGATTTGATTAATGCGGTCGCCGGATTTTTTAAATTATTTACAATGTTTTCTTACAGAAACATGCATTAAATATGTTACTGGCGAGCTACTGATGTGCATTAAGGTTATATATTTTTATCTTTAAAAAAGCAGGAATCTTATGCGATTATACAAAACAGGATTGCTGCTTCAGGATATTTCAGACATATGGACACATTGGATAAATAAATAGAGCAAAGCCACACCACATGCAACTTTATCTTCCATTGTTAAATGAAATAACATTTATGCAGGAATGTAACTGATATGCTCCAACGGCCCTTTTAAATACGAGATCAATGTAACGAATTTTGACGCTCTTGCCTGAAGGTAGACAGTGTTGTCGCCAGGGCAGCCAGAGCGACCTTGGACGCTCTCACCGCTTTCGTTGTGAACGCACAGTAACAGTGTTTTATCTTATCAGTATCACTGTCACATAGGGGTCAAGGACAACAGAGGTGAGGATCCATGTGCTGTTATTAAACAGAATAGCCGGGCAGGCAGCGGTCAAAACAGGAGCAAACAGGAAACCCAGGAGCAAAGTCAAAAACAGGCAAATGGTGAGGTCAAGTGGCAAAAAATGTAAACAGTAAAACAAAGCAAAGGGCAAAAACACGGGAAGCCAAGACAAGGAGAACGCTTACATGATGTGACAGAAATAAGACTCAGCAAAGACTGTGTGTGTGTGTGCTGTTTATCTGGTTCATCATATATCATCCATATTGAGCTTCCCGGTGTCTGTGTGTGTGTAGTCAGAGGGAATCAGGAACTGGTGTGTCTGAGGTGCATAATGGGAGTTGTGGTTTATTTAAGTGGCATATGTGTGGTTCTCCACAGGCTAGATCACTAGTGATTGTGACAATTACAAAATCTAAAAGCATTTTATTTTGGCCAATTGACATTTTCTGAAAAAAAAACAAAAAAAAATTAAATTACAATACATGTATTTTAAAATGTAAATAATAAATCAAATATTAAAAGTTTAATCAACCCCATTCTTAATAAATCCAGTAATTCCAGAGAAACTGGATTCATTTTTATTAATCTATTCTAATTGAATAATATTCTCCATAGCTGTATTTATATAAATAAACCTGAGCCTATGACTGTGGCTTTGCTAATTGACATGCTGTATTTCCCATCAGCATGTCCAGCTGCCACCATGAGAATCATCAGCTTCAATTAAACCGTGACTGATCATATCAGTACCGAGGCCATCTCATCTCTGATTAAACTCAAATCTGACTTTTATTCTATTTACAAGCCAAAACCAATGTGTCCCAATACTACATGTTCCCTGAAACCAGAGCGCAGGGTCTTCAAACACTGAGACAAAAGCAAGTGTAATCTCTAGTGCACTTTACAGCATCAATAATGTAAACTGATCAACAGCGATGCATTATTGAACAGTCACACTGCTGACCGAATGATATGCTGATGTGCAATGGGCTCCTTGAATATATCATCCTTATTTGGTCTTGATGAAATTTATAGTGACAGAGGAGACTGGAAAGAAAAGTTATAAAGAGGATAGCATTAAAGGTTTCTGTCAGAAATAGCCTGAATTTGCAAGATGGAAGGGTCGGTAGCTCTTGAAAGTGTGCCTTTTATAACCAATCGCATTATATTTACATTAACTCATTTTGCAGACGCTTTTATGGAATGACGGATAAAAGCTGTAATGCCATAACACTCTGACGTCAATGCATTACATTGACGTCAATTGAGTTTCTGAGTTGTGTGACAGTCAGACACTGTTTGAAGACTGTAAATGAATGAGAATTGCCATAAGCTGCATCTTACCTGTTGCAAAATTGTAATAGCGTAACATTTTTGGGGGGGAATAACCTATGAAACAAGTCAAACACTAAAAATCAGCCAATATGTTCATTCATTCATTCATTTTCTTTTCAGCTTAGTCCCTTTATTTATCAGGGATCACCACAGCGAAATGAACCGCCAACTTATCCAGCATGTTACGTGTTTATGATGTTAAAGTGGGATGCTGTAACATTTAAGTGAGACAGGTGTAATGTGTGTGACAGATCAAGAATGAGGCAAGGATCAGTTACTCTTATTTAAGCTTTGACTCAATAATTGAAACATGTAACAATAATAAATGAGGAAAACAAGAAATGAACATGTATAATTATTATCTTTAAACAAAAACAACGAGTGTAAGCCAAATCAAAGAAATTAACAAAACAAAACAATCCTTAAATCTAATGTCTAAACTAGGCGTCAAAAAGATACACAAATAAAAACCGAGATCTTCAGTGTATACGACACCCCAACTAAACTAATTAAACTACAAAACTCAAAATACACGAGTGGCAAAACACTCAAACTAATCGAACAAAACATCAATCTAAACTAAAACAAAACAAACCGGATAATTCTTCCAGCTGCAACCCAGTACTGGGAAACACTCATACACTCTCACTCACACACATAAACTATGGACAGTTTAGCTTACCCGATCCCTACATGTCTTAGGACTGTGGGGGAAACCGGAGCACCCGGAGGAAGCCCACACAAACACGGGAAGAACATGCAAACTCCACACAGAAATGCGACCTGACTCAGCCTGGGCTTAAACCAGCGACTTTCTGGCTGTGAGGTGACAGTTTAGAAAACGGAAGTGACAAACAGACCAGCTTTCATTGCAAGCTTTTACCAGCTTTGATAAAATGTGACTTAAAGTTGTCTTTATAGCAACATCATGTTTATTGTAAAATATGAATAAATATATTCACAAATGCTTTATTTTTTCAAAGAAAA